GGCTAGCCTGTTATACAGAGTGAGTTTCAGGACAGGTAAGGTTACACAGAGAAACCCTGTCTTAAAAACAAATAAAACAAAACACCCCCCCCCCCAACACACACACAGCCAGTCCTCATGTTGGTAAATCCACACAGGGCAAATGTGTTTACCTCACCAACCACCTTTCATACCCAAAGAGATAATGCTAAGGCAAGAAAATTCCACTGAAGCAAAACCAACAGTTTTTAGGCTAAATGGCAGTGGTGGCCACAGCCCCAGCCCACTCCATAGCACTGAAGCTAAGCTCTCATTTAGGACACTAGAGCAGTCACTGTGCTCCTTACCTAAGGCCGTAACTATACTGTTAGAAAATCATCAAGGATTGTAAAGAGGAAGCAAACCGTCATAGTTTTACAACAAATATTAGTAAAGATACGTTTGCTTCCAATCCTACACCACAATAAGTATAGTAATTACGATGATAAAAATCCCAAGATGCCTAAAGAAAACCATTTTTACATGGAGAACATTATCTGTTCCTCAATGTTTGTCACATAATACTGATCTAGATAAGACAAATCATACTTCAAAGATTCAGAGAATGTAAATAGTTATAACTAAAACTTGAAATGAGTGCAGGTATTTCTTACATGTATGCTACTCTGAAGTATCTATTCAAATCTACTCAAAGTATCTATTAATATGACACACACTGTAACCATAATTATCTTTCCAGATCCCAAATCTTTATATCTACACCTGATCAATAATGATTTGCATTTACTCCCTTGATGCTAACATAAAACCTGAAAGAACACTGGCAAACCTAGAACCACCTGACTTGAACCAAAGCGAATTTAAACACAAAAGCATTCACAAGCACAGACAATAGACAGAGGAGAGATGGGAAGTCCTCATTGTACTGTAGAGCATCGCACACTGACACACTCCTTCTAGACATTCAACAAGGTCAATTTCACCATTCTTCAACATGTCCAAGATGCTATCATGACCTTTTCCACATTAGGCAGTACTACTTTTATCTTCTCAATGGCTTTTGTTCTGCTTAACATTTTTTCACTAAGTCTTCTTAATTTTTAAACTCCATTTTTCATTTATTTATGTGTGTGTGTATGTGTGTGTGTGCCTACACATGTCCATCATGGACACACGTGAAGCTTAGAGCATAACTTAAGTCAGTCTGTTCTCGCCCACTATGTTCCCAGCATCATACTGAGGTCACCAAGCACGGTGGCAGGCACCTATTCACTGAGCCTCCTCACCAGCCTTTTTTTTTTTT